ACGGGTTACAGCAGGCGTCTGTCTGCATGCGTCAAAAGAGCATCAGCAGTTTGCGACGAGACTTTCGAGCATCAGCAATTTCCGTATCGCAAAACTTGCAACACATACCGCTGGATGCCATGTATTGTGATCTGTCCGGTTCAATATTCCTATACCTGAGATGGTGTCACTCGAGAGACCTGATCGCGCTCAGCTCAGGGTGCCAAGTCACGCGATACCTTGCCGTCTTGAGAGTTGAGATGGACGGGCCATAAAGCACGCCAGAGCTCTCACGAGCCTACGAGCGCATGACGGGTAAGACGGCAGTGGCCTCGAAGATCTCGAAAATGGGACGAAGACACACACGCGCAGAGCCGACGGCTCGCAATGGTGCGACGTTCGACATGTCGAGATAGAGTGCCTTACATAAGGCTGGCGGGCAGGCCGCGGGCCAATTGCCAAGCCAGAGAGATGCGGGATGCGGCAGCTTAAGAGCTAGGTAATGTACCTACATGGTACGTAGGCACGGTAGGGGACACAGGGGCGCGCCCCGCGCCAGCCCCCATTGGCAGTGTGACCCCCCCTGCTTCTTACACTCACCAATGGTCGACCCCAATCCCTCCACGCGCACGTTGGTCCTCTTTACAAAGCACGACGATCCATGCATCCTGCTACCCCTCGGTCATTCACAAGTTTCCTCTCGCTTTTCCGATCGCCATCAGGGCTCATCAGGGCCTTCGAAATGCTTCCAGGAACGGTCTAGATCCTCGACTCACGCACCCTGGCCGCCGGGATGAGTGCCCAAAGCTACTCGACTCCGTGGCCATCAACGTGCGTCCGCCCATGGCGCGGTTGTCCATGATAAAAGGGCTCATGCTCTCCCGTGCAGCAACATGGCCGTTGTTGCCTTGCCACGCCACTTTCCCCGAGCTCGAATTGCCAGCCATCATGGGTTTGAAGCCTCTCGCTTTTACCGCGGCCTTCGTTGCCCTCGCCACCCAGCCCTGGCTGTCAGCTGCCGTCGAGCTCCAACTCAATGTGACGGCCTACACGTCCGGTCTCGTAGAGTCGGACGCCACGGCTGTCTACTACTCCGAGTCACAGCCCTTGCTCATCAGCAACGATGGCGGTGCCTCGACCGGTGGCTTCCACACCTGGGACCTCGACGGCGATGCACCTCTGCAAGCACTAAAGAGCGTGAACACCGGCAGGACCAAGCTTGTGGCGACTGTCCACGATGTTGGTGGCAGAGATATTCTCGTGTCAATCCCAGCGACTACCTCCATCCTCAGTGCGTATGAACTTCCGTCGCTGAAGGAGCTCGATGATGCCCGTTTTGGCGCTCTCGGAGATTGGTCGGCCTTGTGCTCCTGGAAGGCTCCCAGCGCCAACAACTACGTCTACCTCTTTGGCAAGAGCTCAGGTCACCAGTACTTGGTCCGCGAAGCTGGAGAGTCTGTTGAGTTTGTGGAGGTATAGTTTGGCTACCTTATGCTAGCTGTCCTGGATCCATGCTGATGCTGCCAGGTCCAATCCTTCGACGTTCCCACGGAGTTCGCTGGATGCGCGGTTTCCAGCAAGCAATCCAAGTTGATCCTGACACCGAATGACGGTGACGAAATTCACCAAATAGATCTTGCTGAATCGACTTCTACCCCTGAGCTCTCTGTCCTTGGTAAGACCGAGAACACAGCTACAGGCATAGCCGTATACACATCTTCGGGGACTGATGCCGATTATCTCTTTATCGCGCAGGAGAGCACTGTTGCTGTTTACCGCTATCCATTTGAACTTGTCGGTACACTGGCCCTGACGGGCCTCGAGGACATTGAGGTCGAAGGCATTAGCCTTTACCAGGCCGCTACCTCCAAGTACCCCCTTGGCGCGCTAGGCTTTGCGGCCGAGGCCGACAATTTTGAAGGTTTCGGCCTCAGTTCGCTCGAAAACATCTGGGAAGGCCTCGGTGTCGAGCCCAACACTGAGTATGATCCACGAGCTCTTCTCGGCTGCCGGAAGCGGGATCCCATCTGCGACGCTTGTTCCAACAACGGTTTCTGCACAGCGAATTCTACTGCGTGCACATGTTTCTCTGGCTTTGCCGACACCAGCTGCAACGACTTTACATGCCAAGACAACTGCTCTGGTCATGGAACCTGCGTTGGCCCCAACGTTTGCCAATGTGAGAAGGGCTGGGGTGGTCTGCACTGCTCCTTTCTGCTCGTCGAGCCGGCCTTTGAGACGGAAGCGAACGGCAACGATGGTGACGATCCGGCCATTTGGATTTCCCCTGATTCTCCTGAGAAATCCCGCATCATCACAACGACCAAGTCTGAGGCTGGTGCTGGCTTGGGAGTCTTCGACCTGGAAGGCAAGCTCCTTCAAATCTTCCCCGCTGGCCAGCCGAACAATGTTGATGTCATCTACAACTTTAACCTTGGCAATAGAACCGTTGATCTCGCTTATGCAGCATGCCGTGCTGATGATACCCTCTGGTAAGATCCTGGATAAGGCGCCCAGCAGTATACAGTGTATGCCGAGCTAACCAACAACAGTTTGTTTGAGATCACGGCCGATGGTGTCCTGAAGGACATAGCTGGTAGCAGCCAGACCGCCAAGGTTGAGGACGGCCTGTACGGTTCGTGTGTCTACCGCTCTCGCAAGACTGGCAAGCAATATCTCTTTGTCAATGAAAAGACGGCACGGTACATGCAATACGAGCTCACTGCTTCTGCCAATGGAACCCTCGAGACGACACTTGTGCGGGAGTTCCAGGGCGGCTCGGGCGGTCAGGTTGAAGGGTGTGTCTCTGATGAGGAAAATGGATGGGTGTGGATTGGCGAAGAACCATCAGCCCTCTGGCGGTATGATGCGGAACCCGACTCGGAACCGACCGGCATTCGTGTCGCATACGTCGGCGACGGTCTTCTCTGGGGAGATGTCGAAGGCGTCACCTTGGTATTCGGCAAGACGCCAGAAGAAGGCTACCTTTTCGTGTCTTCCCAGGGTGTCAGCGCCTACAATGTCTATCGCCGCGCCAGCCCTCACGAGTACGTCATGACTTTCACCCTCGTTGACTCGGCGGACGGCCAGATCGACCACGTTTCAAACACCGACAGTCTTGCCGCTGTTGGCGCCAACTTGGGCCTAGGCTTCCCTCATGGTCTGCTCGTTGTGCACGATGACACGAATGAGCTGCCAGGTGGAGGAGCCGATGTCCAAGCCAGTTATAAGGTTGTTGGCCTGGATAAAATCCTCGGCGCAGAGCCGTTCAAGGGGCTGAACCTACTTGACGGCATCGACCCGAAGTGGGATCCTCGGGCTTGAGCGGGCTGATCGCCACCATTCGGGTAGTATCACATACTACCTTGATCGTCTTTCTTCTGGCGCTGCCTGTCGCAAAACATTTGCGATACTTGAGGATCCCGATGTGATGAATAAGGCATTGGCCTGGTGCGGCCTCTGGAACTTCAGACATGGAAACCTTTCACTGGCAGCCACTAGAAGTAGTAGCGGCATGGTTTCCCTTCAAGAACCCCATGAGTGTCCGAGATTGTTCGAAATCATTGCCGACTATGCTGTATTCCTTTTGATGCTTGTTCGGAGATCTCGGGCCGCGTTGGTAATGCCATTGCGGCCGCCCTCACAGTGGACCGCTGCAGGCCAGATCAGGGTGTCATCTCACCATTACCTCGAGTTGAATCTCCTAGGCATGTGTTTTCTCGGTCAGGAGATGGTCTGAATTGTAGTTCAATGTGATAAACTGACGTCCTCCCCTGTTCCAACCTTAATGCCGCCCTGTGGGACCCGGCTGTAACCATACCAAGTGCCCTGGCATGTCTCGGTACTCATGTCGTTTTGCGCACTTGGTAATGTTGGTGGTATCCGCCTGGGGCTTCCAGTCACCTGATGCCAGGTGGCCTGTGCCCTGGCACCTCCCATAGCTTAGTTCCAGGCACCCTCCTGCCCTAGAGAATAGCTTCCGAATACAACACTCCTTTCTTCTTCTAGACCTCCAACAGGTAATCACATCAAGGTACAGAGACGCTACTCCACTTCAGCTGTCAGGGCCAATCTTGAATAGAGCCGCAGTGGCGGTCCGAGTGGGGAGAGCCAATCACCACCTGGGGTCTTTTCCTATTCAAGGGCTCAATAGAGACTCGATCGGGTATTGAATAAGAGACTTGGGGACACTGAGTACATGCTTGCACACCTTCGGGGTCAAACGATTAAGCAAGCTGTCATCATATTTGTTTCTTGAGCCAAGTTCGCGCCAATTAGACCCTTTGTCAGGAAAGTGCGTAACGGGCGACCCCTGACTTTCACACTTGTCATCTAAGGAGGCGCCGTGTAGCGGCCCGCGAGAGCTTCAATGCTATCCGATCAGAAGAAAGATGGCGTTCGACGGCTTTGTCCGCAAAGGCAGTCGGAGTGGTTCGCATGGACTGGAATTTCACAACGGATCGCCCAAAGAAGTCCTGAATAAGCCTTGCGCTATTCAGACAGCACACCGAAGGTGTGTCCACAAGTGATATCTGCCTTTGGTTTGCGAATCAGCCTTTGAACCAACGCAACCCGTGATGTCGGTTCGTTTGCTTCGCGATAGCCTCGATCTTTGGAGCAATCTTGACTTTCTTTTGTGCGCGTGTGATAGAGGCGTCGCCTTCCAAGGCAAGAGTCGCTGATGGATGTTCTGGCCCAGCGTAGTGTGCCTACCTTGGCGCTCGATACTCGTGGCCGCCAACTCCAGGCTCTCGTTATTGGGCTATTGAGATGAACAACCGACCCAGGTCAATAAAGTACAACTGCCTCAACATGAATTATAAAGATGTTGCTCAGATCGCCCCCAAGACCAGATAATATTCTCTCTTCACTCGTCCCCGCTCCAACATCATTGAGCCAAAGGTCATCAGCCAACCTTGAGACAAGCAAATCTTCCAAGAACATCGAGTCCACCGCCACACGTTCACTACCCCTCAAACAAACCGAGTTGATCCAACCCGTTCCCCTACCCAAACCTCAAAATGAAGTTCCTCCTCTACGCGGCCGTCGTCGCCGCCGTCGCCAACGCTGCAGCGCTCCCCTTCGCCGAGCCCGGCAAGCCATGCCCCCGACCTGGCCAGGGCTGCTGGAAGGCCAAGCGTGCCCCCGAGCCCATCGCCATGCCCGAGCCTGAGGCCGTTGCCGAGGCCGAGCCTGGCAAGCCATGCCCCCGACCTGGACAGGGCTGCTGGAAGGCCAAGCGTGCCCCCGAGCCCATTGCCATGCCCGAGCCTGAGGCCGTTGCCGAGGCCGAGCCTGACAAGCCATGCCCCCGACCTGGCCAGGGCTGCTGGAAGAACAAGAAGCGCACGCCCGAGCCCGTCGCCAGGCCCGAGCCCGAGCCCGAGGCTGTGGCTGAGGCTGACCCTCAGAAGCCCTGCCCCCGACCTGGACAGGGCTGCTGGAAGAACAAGAAGCGCGCGCCCGAGCCCGTCGCCATGCCCGAGCCCGAGCCTGAGGCCGTTGCCGAGGCCGAGCCCGACAAGCCATGCCCCCGTCCTGGACAGGGCTGCTGGAAGAACAAGAAGCGCACGCCCGAGCCCGTCGCCATGCCCGAGCCAGAGCCTGAGGCTGTTGCTGAGGCTGACCCCCAGAAGCCCTGCCCCCGACCTGGACAGGGTTGCTGGAAGAACAAGCGCAGCGCCGAGCCTGAGTTCGTCGCCAGCGAGTGTACGTCCTTTCTCTGCCGTCTGATGTCCAAGTGAATGAACACCGCCGTCGCCCGCAGGGCCACAAGCAGCGGTTGATAGGTTGATCAGTCACGCTGATGCTGGTATGAACAGAAAAACTAGGCACGTTTCCAACATGGATCTGACCCGGACGGACATCTCGTTGAGAGCACCAGGTAAGTAGCTACCCTGTTAACACGGAATCTCAGCTCGTTTGCTGACCAAACCAGAAACTTCCAGGATTCTGACAGGTGTTCGGTTCATGGCCTTGAGGGTCAGGGGAGGAGGAGGAGGAAGGCAATAATCCAAGAGGAGCTCACAGGAAAAAAAAAACTCGACAGAAAACCATCGGCCCATGAAGCACCTCAAACGCGGGAGGAAACGCAGTAGAGCACCACATTTTCACTTCTTCAAGCCGAATGCGACGGGACTCTTGAGGAAGCAAGGAAACAGACAACTCATCTGCATCCTGGCCTTTGCCCGCCGCATTTCAGCTCTTTCATTTCCACATGGCGGGTTTTGTTTCGTCAGGCAACTTGACGCCGCTCTTTTCGAGGATGTATGTATCCCATAGTCGATAGCTCTTGTATTGTATAATCGTGCGGCCGAATGACAGACCGTGTTCCGCCACTGGTGCTGATGTGCTGCCGGCTCGTCATAAGGATATCTCATGTCAAGATGTGGTGAATCGCAGGAGGCAGATGTTGCAGCACAACAAGGAGATGAAGTCGTTCGATCCCCAGACGCTTGCTTAGCACGTGATCTTGTGGGTCCTCTGCTTGTCGCGCAAAGTAGCATCATTGGCCATGGTGCAACCTCGCACAGTTGGGACGTGGCTGTGGTCCAGTCTCGAAACCATGATGGGTGGCTTGGTAACGATAGTGGTACTGGTTTAATGCTGTGAGGCTGTCATAAAGTAGACCATCTCATCACGAGGGCTTAGTTACCAGCCCGCCTCATGCACATCGAGATGCAGATATGTACGTTCAATCATTGCGATCCTTCCCATGTGCCAAAAGGCAGGTAAAGCACCGCACCCAAGATTGTTCGGTTTCCTCTCCATTCTGTATTCCCAGAGTTCAATGGTCGTGGGCTCAGCAGAGCGAACCTCGCATCAAGTTTGCATGGAAATCTGAATGTGATTTTTGCGTTGTTCATATTTGAATGGAGAGAGGAAAGGAAAACTGAAAAAGCCTGGCTGCCATGAGGAAGTTTTGTAGGTGCTGCAGCGGGGTTCAGAATCTTTGATAGCCAATCAAGGCTTTCAAATTCCTAGCGAATCAAACATGCGGCTCATCCTCGGCAGAAGACGAGCGACCCTGGCGTGCCTGGCTGGACTCAAGTGGGACCTCCCCGCGACCACATGTTCCGGTTCCTGGATGCCATCATCGCGGTCCTGCGCCCGACAAACTTACCCGTGACAGTTATTCTTGAGAACAGAACAATAGAACGCCATGGCGGTCCCGACAACAATGGCCTCTGTAGCGCTGCCGAGGTTTCTGCTGCCGAAGCTCAGCTGGAACACGTCCGCGAAAACATCTCGTTCTCTTTTGATCCCCGCGATCCAGTCTACGGCACCGTGGCAATCACAAACCACTTCATTTCACACTTTCGGACAGACGCCACAATGCAGGAGAGCCGGCTCCCTGCCATACCCTGCACCAAATTCTCCCATGTTTCGGAAAACTTTCCACACGACGCCAGCAAGGCAGCGTGACCATCACTTTGACACCCTGAAGTTTGTCCAACGGCTCAAGGGCGAGGGCTTCACGGAGGAGCAAGCTGCTGCCATGATGAAGGTGCTCAACGATGTCATCGAAGAGAGGTTTGCCTAACTTGATCTTTCCCTCCTTTCCGCATCGCTTGCTGACTGATGATCCCAGCATCCAAAATCTTACCCGCACAATGGTCCTTCGCGAAGACGCCGCCAAGGCCACTTATACCCAGAAAGTCGACTTCGCCAAGCTACGCTCCGAGCTCCTCTCCGCTGACAGCACCGAATCGAGTACCACGCGTGCCGCCCACGAGCGCCTGTCCAACGACATCACCAAGCTGAGCAGCCGTCTGCGTGACGAGATCGGCCGTACGCAAGCCAGTGTGCGCCTCGACCTCAACCTCGAGAAGGGACGCATCCGAGAGGAAGCTGTGGGGCAGGAGTTGAAGATCAAGGAGACGGAGACCAAGATCGAACAGGAGGTGGCCGCGCTGCGGGAGAAGCTAGAGCAGGTCAAGTTCCAGACGCTGCAGTGGCTGATGGGCGTGTGTACTGGTTCTGCGGCGCTGCTGCTGGGTGCCTGGCGCTTGCTGATGTAACCAAACCACCAGAAATCTGTACATGTCCACGAGCATAATCCACTTTGTATCAAGAGCCGGCAAATCTGAGTGCTTGCGACTGTCATGTACCCGGGCATGTCTATGAGGCGTGAGCGCCTTCTTCACGGCCCCCTCGATGTTTTGAGCAGTATGCTTGGAGCTGACAGCTAACACGAGGAATTTGTGAGGCAACCTCGACATCGGCTTCTTTTGTCTCTTTTTGTGAAAGTCCAGCGAAATCGCCCACGGTTGAACCAACCGGCACGCTTGACATCCCCAGTGCAGGCGTTCTTCATGACGCTTCACAGAGAATGAGATGGAGCGAGGAGGTGCATGTCGGCAACTTCTTTATCGAGCCCGCTCAAGAAGGATGAGATGGCTCCAGGATTCTCAATACCATTCTAATTTTATCCTCTCGTGCTTGGAGCGGTCAATCATGATTCTTTTCGGCGTGGTATGTCGTCATGATGCACTTTACGAGGAAGAGCCGATCTTGCTCCAGACACCCTGAGCCTTCGCCATACGAACTTATCAACCACAGCGGCAAACATCTTTGAAATATGATTCGTAAAGGTCTTGGGCAGGTCGTAGTCAAGTCACAATTGCAAGGTCAGTAACGTGTTGAGAGAAGGTTGCTGCGATGTGCAGGGATGCCAAATTCGCTTGCTCTAGTGCTGGAAAGAAGGCTTCCACATCACGAGCTACCTACCTAGGTACCTTACCTACCTAGGTACCTTACCTACCTTACCTACCTACCTACCTAGGTAGGTAGGTACGTACTACACCTCTCAACCTCTGACGCAAGCAGCCGGTGATTCATTCAAGCACATATAGTGTAAAAATATATGGCCTGCAGTATGTGAGTAGATTCCTCACAGCCTCAGTTGGCTCCCAGTCCAGGCACTGCAGTCGCGCCTATCAGGCCTACCAAGACTTGTGAGTGCCCTGACCAGGCTTGCCAGGTAACATCTGAACACCCCCTGAGACATCTTCATCTACACCCAGATCGGCTAGGCCCCAAACTTATCCCGCAGCTCCAGACGCTCAGATCGAGCCAGAAGCACTGATGGGTCCCACGTGACCGGTACCACTTGACCCACCCGAGCACCAGGCAGAGAGCAAGCTGACTGGCACCTGCACCCTGCTGCCCCTGCCCGTCGCGAATGCAAGTGAACAGGTATTTGCACCTTACGTATCCTTACCTTGGTCCATCCCGATCTCAACCCAAACAAAACTCTCCACCCATCAACCGCCCACGACTTCCCACGTTTGCCCTCCAGATTGCCATCTCTGAGAGTTGCATCCTTGACGCGAACACGCCTCTCCGTCTTTTTGCTTCCCGCCCTTTTGCGTCGCCTGTATAATTGCTCGGTTCGCGCCCCCAACAGGACAGCTCGCGACGAAGCTCCCCTTTCTTCTCCTATCCTGGTTCCGATCCTAATCTCGCCAACAATCGTCCAACCTTGACACGCCACAAAAGACCGGAATCTTGTCACAACCGCGACCGCCAGCTGTGCGTCAGATTCTTCCAACAGCTTGTCCGTCACAATCGCCGTCATGGCGGCCCTTCCGATCAGGTTCGAGGAGCTCGTTCAGCTCAAGAGCGTCGGCGTGGAGGACTCGTCCATCACTTTCAACTCCTGCGTAAGCATCCCTCACCTCATTCGGCCCAATGCTGCTACTGCGCCTTGTGACATGCCCTCTGACCCTGTCCGATGCAGACACTCGAATCAGATGCCTATGTTTGTATCCGAGAACAGAAGGGTGACGCCTCGCCCGAGGTCGTCATCGTTGACCTCAAGAATGGCAACAATGTCACCCGCCGCCCCATCAAGGCCGACAGCGCCATCATGCACTGGTCACGACAAGTCATCGCCCTGAAAGCGCAATCCAGAACTCTCCAGATCTTCGATCTCGAGCAGAAGCAGAAGCTCAAATCGGCCACGATGAACGAGGACGTCCAGTATTGGAAGTGGGTCACCGAGACCACGCTCGGCCTTGTCACCGAGTCGTCAGTGTTCCACTGGGACGTTTACGACCCGAGCCAGGCCGCCCCCGTCAAGATCTTCGAGCGCAATGCCAACCTCAGTGTAAGTCGCGCTTTTCCTGCCACATGCTGTGCTGCGCCGCACCACTGGTGGGAGGCATCCCTTTGCGTGCACGACTAACTAGTCCCACAGGGATGCCAAATCATCAATTACCGCACAAATGTCGACAACAAGTGGATGGTCGTCGTCGGTATCGCCCAGCGCGAGGGACGCATCGTCGGTGCCATGCAGCTCTACTCCAAAGACCGTGGTATCAGCCAAGCCATCGAGGGTCACGCTGCTGCCTTCGGCACCATCCGGTTGGAGGGTGCCCCAGCAGATACAAAGCTCTTCACATTCTCCGTCAGGACGGCAACCGGCGCGAAGCTTCACGTTGTCGAAGTTGACCACGCCGAGTCGAACCCTGTCTTCCAGAAGAAGGCGGTCGATGTTTACTTCCCACCTGAGGCGACCAACGATTTCCCCGTCGCGATGCAGGTCTCGCAGAAATACGGCGTCATTTTCATGGTTACCAAGTACGGCTTCATCCACGTCTACGATCTCGAGAGCGGCTCTTGCATCTTCATGAACCGTATTTCAAGCGATACCATCTTCACTACCTGCCCTGACAGGGACTCCTCCGGCATCGTCGGGATCAACCGCAAGGGTCAGGTACTCTTCGTGACGATTGACGACAGCAACATCATCTCGTATCTTCTCCAAAACCCTGCCAACACGGAAATGGCGATCAAGATGGCCTCGCGTGCTGGTCTGCCCGGTGCCGATGACCTCTACAAGCGCCAGTTCGAGCAGCTTTTCAACAACGGTAGCTACATGGAAGCCGCCAAGGTCGCTGCCAACTCGCCCCGCGGCTTTCTTCGATCCGCCGAGACCATCGAAAAGTTCAAGCGCCTCCCCCAGCAGCCTGGTTCGATGTCCTTCATTCTACAATACTTTGGCATGCTCCTCGACAAGGGCGCCCTCAATGAGCACGAAACTCTTGAGCTGGCGCAGCCCGTGCTTGCCCAGAACAGGATGAACCTGCTGGAGAAGTGGATGAAGGAGGGCAAGCTGCACAGCTCCGAGCGCCTCGGTGATCTCATCCGCCCCCACGATATCAACACGGCTTTGGCGGTGTACCTGAAGGCCAACGTACCCCAAAAGGTTGTCGCTGGCTTCGCCGAAACGGGCCAGTTCGACAAGATTCTGCCGTACTCGCAACAGGCTGGCTACTCACCAGACTACGTGCAGCTGCTGCAGCACATTGTTCGCATCAACCCCGAGAAGGGCGCCGAGTTTGCCACCTCTCTCGCCAACCACGAGGGCGGCTCGCTTGTAGATATTGCGCGGGTGGTGGACATCTTCCAGTCCCAGGGCATGATCCAGCAAGCTACTGCCTTCCTCTTGGATGCTTTGAAGGAGAACAGCCCGGAGCAGGGCCAGCTGCAGACTCGCCTTCTTGAGATGAACCTGATGAACGCCCCTCAAGTCGCCGATGCCATTCTTGGTAATGAGATGTTCTCCCACTTCGACAAGCCGCGCATCGCCTCCCTCTGTGAGCAGGCCGGCCTTTCGCAGAAGGCTTTGGAACTCTACGAAGACCCCGAAGCCATCAAGCGCGTCGTTGTCAACATCGCGGGCACACCCAACTTCAATCAGGATTGGCTGAATGGCTTCTTCGGCAAGCTCTCTGTGGAACAGTCGCTCGACTGCCTTGATGCCATGATGAAGCACAACATTCGCCAGAACCTGCAGTCCGTAGTGACGATTGCCACCAAATACAGCGACCTCCTGGGACCTGTTCAACTGGTCGATCTCTTTGAGAAGTACAAGACGGCCGAGGGTCTCTTCTACTACCTTGGTAGCGTTGTCAACCTCTCTGAGGAGCCTGATGTTATCTTCAAGTACATTGAGTCTGCCACCAAGATGGGCCAGTTCAATGAGGTCGAGCGCATTTGCCGCGATAACAACTTTTACAACGCCGAGAAGGTCAAGAACTTCCTCAAGGAGGCCAAGCTTCAGGAGCAGCTGCCTCTTATCATCGTCTGCGATCGTTTCAACTTTGTCCACGATCTCGTTCTCTACCTGTACCAGAACCAGCAGTTCCAGTCCATCGAGACGTATGTCCAGCGTGTCAATCCTTCGAGGACCCCTGCCGTCATCGGTGGCCTCCTCGACGTTGACTGCGACGAGGGTATTATCAAGAACCTGCTGTCAACCGTCAACCCGCAGTCGATTCCCATCGACGACTTGGTGCAGGAGGTCGAGTCGCGCAACCGCCTCAAGCTTCTCCTGCCCTTCCTCGAGCAGATGCTCTCTGCCGGTATGGAGCAGCAAGCCGTTTACAACGCGCTGGCCAAGATCTACATTGACTCCAACAACAACCCCGAGAAGTTCCTCAAGGAGAACGACAAGTATGATTCCCTGAGCGTCGGCAAGTACTGTGAGAAACGCGACCCCAACCTCGCCTACATTGCCTACTCCAAGGGTCAGAACGACCTTGAGCTCGTCAACATCACCAATGAGAACTCCATGTACCGTGCTCAGGCCCGCTACCTGTTGGAGAGGTCTGACCGTGAGCTTTGGGACTTTGTCCTCAGCGAGAACAACATTCACCGCCGCTCCGTGATTGACCAGGTTACCTCGACGGCTGTACCCGAATCAACGGATCCCAGCAAGGTTTCTGTGGCTGTTGCCGCCCTGCTTGGCAATGATCTCCCCCTTGAGCTCATCGAGCTTCTTGAGAAGATTGTTCTCGAGCCTTCCCCCTTCAGCGACAACCAGAACCTGCAGAACCTTCTTCTGTTCACGGCTGCCAAGGCCGACAAGAGCAAGGTCATGGACTACATTCACAAGCTGGATGGTTACAGCGCACCCGACATCGCCAATGCCTGTATTGAGGTCGGTTTGCATGAGGAGGCCTTCGAGATCTACAAGAAGACTGGCGATAAGGGGTCGGCTGTCAATGTTCTCGTTGATCACGTCGTGAGCATCGACCGGGCTCAGGCCTTTGCCGAGGAAGTTGACCAGCCAGAGGTCTGGTCTAAGGTTGCCAAAGCTCAGCTTGACGGTGTTCGTGTCAGCGATGCGATTGAGTCGTACATCAAGGCCGATGATCCCAGGAACTACGAGGAGGTTATTGAGACTGCTGTGCACGCTGGAAAGAACGAGGACCTTGTTAAGTACCTCCGCATGGCGCGCAAGACCCTGCGTGAGCCTCCTATTGATACGGCCCTTGCCTTCTGCTACGCTCGCTTGGATCAGCTTAGCGAGCTGGAGGACTTCCTCCGCGGCACTAATGTGGCCAATATTGAGGAATCTGGAGATAAGGCCTACGAAGAGGGTTTCTTCGAGGCTGCCAAGATCTTCTTCACCAGCATCTCGAACTGGGCCAAGCTCGCCACCACGCTGGTCCACCTTGGCGACTACCAGGCCGCTGTTGAGTGCGCCCGCAAGGCCAACAACATTAAGGTCTGGAAACAGGTGCACGAGGCCTGCGTGGAGAAGAAGGAGTTCCGTCTTGCACAGATCTGCGGTCTCAACCTGATTGTCGATGCCGAGCAGCTCACAACACTCGTCAAGCAGTACGAGCGTAACGGTTACTTTGATGAGCTTATCAGCTTGTTGGAGCAGGGCCTTGGCCTCGAGCGCGCTCATATGGGTATGTTCACCGAGCTCGGCATTGCGCTGTCCCGCTACCACCCTGAGCGCCTCATGGAGCACCTCAAGCTCTTCTGGAGCCGCGTCAACATGCCCAAGTTGATCCGCGCATGCGAGGAGGCTACCCTCTGGCCCGAGCTCGTCTTCTGCTACTACCACTACGATGAGTACGACAACGCGGCACTTGCTGTTATTGAGAGGCCCGAGAACTCGTGGGAACACCACCAGTTCAAGGAGATCATCGTCAAGGTAGCCAACTTGGAGATCTACTACCGCGCCATCAAGTTCTACATTGAGCAGCACCCGTCGCTTCTCACCGATCTCCTCCAGGTTCTCACTCCTCGTATTGATGTCAACCGTGTTGTCAAGCTGTTCGAGAAGAACGACGACCTGCCTCTGATCAAGCCTTTCCTCCTCAATGTCCAGACCCAGAACAAGCGTACCGTCAACAACGCCATCAACGACCTGTTGATCGAGGAGGAGGACTACAAGACTCTCCGCGATTCTGTTGAGAACTACGACAACTACGATCCTGTCGATCTTGCCGCCCGCCTCGAGAAGCACGACTTGATCTTTTTCCGCCAGATTGCTGCTAACATCTACCGCAAGAACAAGAGGTGGGAGAAGTCGATCGCGCTGTCCAAGCAAGACAAGCTGTACAAGGACGCCATTGAGACGGCCGCCATTTCTAGCAAGACCGACATTGTGGAGGATCTGCTGCGTTACGTGAGTGTTACTCTGCTTTTGACTTTTGCGTATTTCTCGCTGACAATTTTCTTCTAGTTCGTCGACATTGGTAGCCGCGAGTGCTACGTCGGCATGCTGTACTCTTGCTACGACCTCATCCGCCCTGACCTCGTGCTTGAGATCTCTTGGCGCCACGGCCTCAACGACTTCACCATGCCGTACATGATCAACATGCTGTGCCAGCAGACCAAGGAGCTGGCAACGCTGAAGGCGGACAACGAGGCCCGCAAGGCCAAGGACAAGGAGCAGGAGAAGGACGACACGAACACGCCCATTCTCGGCGGCAACCGCCTTATGATTACTGCCGGTCCCGGCGGCAGCCAGTCGCCCGCGCCTTACGGCCAGACCAATGGCTTCGCCCCTCAGGCGACTGGCTACGGCTTCTAGATGCAGGGTCCAGCCTGGTACTATGTGAGCGGAAGGACACACCCGCATCAGTGGGCATCGTCGGCGACATCGAGGAATGCTGCGGCTCACTGGTATGCCCCTGCAGGTGGTGAAGCACTTGGGCGGCCGCCACGGGCGCTGCAGACGTGCAGTTTGTGCGCTGCACCGTGGTCACAACAAGCGGCCGCAGCAGCAGCACTTGAGGTAGTAGGCCGAGGGAATGAGAGTCTACGTCGGTAGACGAGGGCGCCGGGTTCGCTTTTGGGTGCCTGTAATCCTACATCTTCTTTTATTGCTCGTCCCAGGTTCAGAGTAAGCGGACAGCTAGCATGGGGGATGCACAAGTTGGCCCATCTGGAGACGTAGGGAAAGGAGCATGGAGTAGATTGTGTGTCAGTTGGTATCGTCTGCTATTTTCTTGCAGACATTGTATGATAGTACATTGATGTTATTTCACGCCCGCGTTGTCATTGCTGTCATGGGATGCATGTTGTTCATTAAGCACGCAGTGTGTACCGGGCCATAGCATGTTGTTGAATGATGGTATTCTTAAGAAGAAACGCCGATCCTCATCCTTGTACAGATCAAAACACACATGACACGCTACATACTTGTCAAAGCTACACAAACGACACCAACGACGATTCTCACGACTCAATCTTGGGCTCCGCATCATTGACCTTGACCCACTCGCCATTAAAGGCATTGATCAACCAGTTGCTCAGCTCTGCAGGCGTGTTAGCGGTCGCGCGGGTCTGGCAAGTGCTGGAGGCACAAACGGAGGGGGTCAAAAGGGGGAAGGCGGGGGAACGTACTATCGTACACGATGCGGTTCGCATTGTGAAAGTAGATGCTGTGATCGCTGTCGGGGAAGACGTGGACGTCGTAGTTCTCGACGCCGGCGAGGTCGAGCTCGTCGAGGAGCGTCAGGGTGTTCTGCATGTGGACATTGTCGTCGGCGACGCCGTGCATGACGAGGAAGCGCTCGTTGGCGCCGAGGGCGGTCGTGTTGCTGATGGCCGTCTGCTGGTAGCCGTCGCGGTTGAGGTCCGGGGTGCGCATGTAGCGCTCGGTGTAGATGCTGTCGTAGAAGCGCCAGTCGGTGACGGGGGCGACGGCCATGCCGTAGCGGAAGGTGCGGCCGGCGTCCGTCTCGAGCGTCTTGAGCGTCGCGAAGCCGCCGTAGCTCCAGCCCCAGATGGCGAGGCGGTCGGCGTCGACGTAGCGCTTGGCCGCCCAGTGGCGCGCCGCGGCGATCTGGTCGTGCGCCTCCCACCGTCCGAGCTGGTCGCGGATGAGCACGCGCGCCTTGCGGCCGATGAAGCCCGTGCCGCGGCCGTCGACGGTGACGACGACGTAGCCGAGGGCCGAGGCGACGTACGACTGGAAGTCGACGGCGAACTTCTTGGTGACGGTCTGCGAGCCGGGGCCCGAGTACTGCTGGAAGAGGACGGGGTACTTCTTGTTCTTGTCAAAGTGCGGCGGCCGGCGCTCGACATAGTTGAGCTCAACGTCGTCGACCTTGATTGTGCCGTACTCGAGCACCGGGAGCTCGTGCTTCTTGGCCTGCTGGGTGAGGTCCTTGTTCTCCTCGATGATGCGTTCGTACGACTTGGGGTTCGAGGGAGTGCTGACGACCTTTTGCCAGGGCACCTTGGGGCCCTGGTATGAGAGGAGACCGAAGCCGGCGCCCGAGGAGAAGGACACGTCGTAATAGCTCTCGTGGGTCGTGTCGGTAAAAGGCTTCATGTCGGTGCCGTTGAGGTGCACGCTGTAAATGTGACGCTGAATGGACGACTCCTTGGTCGAGCGGAAGTAGACGAGGTTGTTCTTGAGATCGACCGCGCTCGCACTGCCGTCGACTTCCCAGCCAGGGCCTTCGGTAATGTAGACGGGTTTTGGGTTGTCCATCGGCGTGAAGTAGGCCAGGTGATCGCCATCGTTATGGATGACAGTATCCACGTAGCCATCGTGCGGACGGCCGTTCTTGGCGTCCGCGGGGATGTAGATCACATGCGAGATCTCAAACCAGCCACCATCAATCTTGGCCACGTCTACGTGCTGCACCGTCTTGCCAGTACGGGCCATGATGTCGATGAGGTTGACCTGCAACACATCGCTGACGCGGTTCGTCGTCTTGACGAGGACGTTGCCATCGGCCCACATGACGAAGTTGATGAGCTTGTCCTTCTCGGGAAAGTCGCCGTCAATGTCGACAGTGAAGACATCGCCCTTTTCGACGTCGTAAAAGAGGAGATCGACGACAGGGTTCGGGCTGCCGACCTTGGGATACTTGATCTGCCTGACCTCGGGGTAGTTCTCCTCGCCGACTTGAGGCTCGGCGCCGCTGGGGCGCGAGACAAAGTACTGGATCGGGTACTTGGGGACCTCGGTCTCGTTGGTTCGCAGGAACGCAACGTGCTTGCCGTCGGCAGACCACCACGTGGCGCTGTTGCCGCTGAAGACCTCCTCTTCATAGACCCAGTCGGGGATGCCATAGAAGTACTCGGGGCCTCCGTCGGTGGTGATGGGGATGACCTTGTCGTCAGCGAGCTTCCTGAGGAACAGATTGTTGCTCCTCGTGAAGACGATGGCGTCGCTCTGGGCGTTCCACGTCGCCAGCTGGACCCTCTCCTCGGGGTGGGCGGGGTCGAGAGGCTCGGCAGACTGCGACTCGACGTCAAAGACCCAGTAGAGCGCGGTGAACGAGTGGCGCCAGTTGCGCTGCTTCTGGGTGGCGACGAGGACCTTCTTCTGGTTCTTGCTGGGCCAGGTCTGGAGGATGCTGTGCTGCTGGTCGCCCCAGTAGAACCACGGGTCCTTGATCAGGGTGCGGCTCTCGGCGGCGTCGGGGTGCGCCTCGCCGTCAGCCGAGCCCTGGGACCGGACATCCTCGACGACGAGAAAGTCCTTGCCACGCGCCTCCTGCTCGAGCAGCAGCCCGTCCTCGCCGTCGGGCCCGGGGATCCAGCTGAATGTATGGGACGTGGGTCGCCAGAAGCCCGATTGGACCTGGTCGAGGGTCACGCGCTTGCCCGACTTGCGGTTCGTCGCCGCAGGATCATGGTCAATCTGGCTGCCGTGCTTGTACGATTTGTTGGTCAGGAAGACGACGAGCGAGACGATCCAGGCGGCGACGAAGAAGCCGCCGACGATAAGGAGGACCTTTTTGAGCTTGCGGTCGACGCCTTTGCGCGGTGGTGTGGTCTCTGATGAGGCTCCTAGAAAGGGGCCCGTCTCGGGGTCGTTGATGTCGGACTCTTTGATGGCATCGCTGTTGTCGTCGGTGTAGGCGTGTCGGGCAGCGGAGGGATGCGGTCGGGACGAGGCGTCGTGGTTCTTCTCCGACTCCTCGGCGAGACGGTCGAAGACGAGGCTCGTCGTGGAGGCGCTCGAGACGGAGGATTCGCGAGAGTGACGGCGGTCCAGTGTATCTTGTGTGCGTTTCGGCTCAGACATGGTTGCGACGCTGAGGTTGGCGCGATTCGAGGTGCACGCGTGACCGTGCTGAAGGGTGAGGCAAGTGACTTGGTGGAAAGAAAGGGAGGGGACGCGCAAGTCAGGTCTCGGATTCAGCGATGTCGCGCGAGAGCATTGCGGTCCAAGGCAGATACGCGCCGCTCAGCCTTTCTACGTGTTTGCCGCAGGCGTCTATACAAGCAAGGTCAAATAGAAGCAGGTGAGGGGCTGTCTTTGTTGGATGCTTCCAATCCGGGGTCTCAATAGCTCTCGAGCTGGTAGGTGGGGATTGGAGCTGGAGCTGTCCCCCAGCAGCATATCAACTCCACACCCAGACCCGCCTGCATCAGATGTACTATCACAGCAACGTGGCTCGTTCATCCAAGATGAAAATAAAGGAGACATGACCATCACATGTAAACATCTAGGCTTACTCAAAACTGCCTCGCCTAATACTCTTCCCCGTGCCGCCACCAGCGGCGGGCTTCCCTGCGCTCTGAGAGCCACCCATTCGGAAGCGTGAAGGTCCGACTTGCATCGAATCATGTCCTCTACCAACACTTGCCACCTCTCTGTCTCCGGGTCTCTCTGAGAGGAGAATTCGTACCGCCCCACCCGGAGGCCCAACTGGCATGCAGCCAAAGACAGCAGCGGTTGGCCAGTCTGCTGCAGGACTCCTGCTGCCTCGGTCGACTCAACGCTGCCTACCATGAAACAACGGCGGAAAACGCTCGAGGAAACAGGCGAGTCGGTAAAGCCATGGGCGACCAAGTCCAGCACACATTCTTGCCGTGTCTTTCCAGGATGACGCCGGCGGTGGTCCCGGAAGAACTTGTCAAATGCCGTCACGTCCCATTGCACCACGGACGGGAATCTGTTGGCCTGGAAGTTCTCGTCATGTTTCGCCAGCCAGTCATCGAAGTCCATATGCCGCATGCAAACTTGGGCGAAAGCCTCCAACAATTGATCATCTGCTACATACCTGAACATGTTGTATAAAGAGATGATAGTCGAATCGACCTCGGGATAAAAATGCACCACCAGGAAGCCGAACGTAGCAGGACAGCTCTGAACATATGCAGCCTTCCATTCATGAGTTCCTATCATTCCTGAGCAAAGCGGGGGGCCCCGTTGTCTACTCACTTGCAACAAACAAGTCCCACACTAGTCAACAGAGAAGGGCGATGCGGCACGCGCCTCAAATAATCGTTGTAGGCCAAGGACATCGTCGTAGTCGATACACTGGAAAACGTCCGATCGATAGTCCACAACTTGGTAGGTTCTCAACCCAAAGTCCCATCCGTTACTGGCATTGGAGAGGCAGAAATCCCAGCATCTCCCAACGAGCCATTTTGGAGGGGCGATGGAGGCGCGGTAAGCTGCAAAACTTTAGCAACAACTTTGGCCTCGATGGGGACGATCAAGATACCGGGGTAGCCATACATGAGACCGAGGTGAAAGTTGATGATTTTTCACTCTTCGTCACCGAATACTCTCCCAGCACTGACAGTGCATATGGAAAGGACCACACAGTCGTCTGCGTCTTGCTTGTCCACCTTTGTGCTGGCTTGCGAGGACGAGCCCTCTGTAGAAGCACGACGCCTTCTTCGTCGACGACCTCGTCTTCTTCTTCCACTTCGACGACTTGAGGCGAATCGGCTCGACGACCGCCACCTGCTCCATCAGGCTGCGGATGGTATCTGGCACCTCCTTGAGCTCATCAAACAGCTGCTTGAGCTTGAGGACGCGGCCGCCGAGACGACCGGCGACCTCAAGAAGAGCAATGCTGCCGGTGACAATACCAAGGACCTCTGCCATTGTGGAAATGGGAAGTGACGTGACGAGTGCGTCAACCAGGGCTCGAAGTAATCCAGCTGACGAAGCAGAGAAGTCCTGGAGTGATTTGGTGAGAAACAAAAGTCGTTCCGACAGCGAAGCAGGTGCAATAGCAATGACAGAGATGATGCCGCCGCTGATCATGATCCTGTTATTGATGGTTTGATCACAGATACCAACGAAATCAGGCCGCCTTGGATAAGCAACAGAGTGTGAAGGACGAGGAAAGAGGATCAGGCTCGGAGCCTGATGGGAGGGTGGTCATATTCAGGCCTCCAACGAGGCCGCCTGCATAGCATCTTCTTCGTTCTTGGGTCCCCGCTCGCTGATTCTCGTGCTGATCCAGCCTACTACCAACTGGATTACTCGGAAATCACAAGCGAGACGGTGCCGAGCTTGAGCATCTGCTTTCCAATGAAAACGAGACAAAGGTCGTGAGTGGCACAAGATACAGGCGAGGTTGCAGCAGGACACACGACTTTCCCAAATATACACCACGCCGTCTCGATACCGGTGACGCATGCTAAGCAGAACCCGGAGGTCCGGTTTCCTCCACAATCGTGTCAACTTTCCAGGGAATCAACGCTGCAATCCCGTGGGCAAACGGACTCAGAATACCCAGCCCAGGTGGCAACCAATGCCTATACGTCTGCATTTCCACCTCGGGAACAGGATACCAATAACTCTACATCTTCTCGCGATATTCGCGCCGCCTCGTTTCACACTTGAGGTTGTCCTTGGGACATTCCCACCCGTGCTCTTCGATCTTGATGCGATCGAGACATTTTGTACAGCGCCACCACTTGGCAGACATCTTACGGCTGTCTAACCATGAATCTTCAATCTTTCCTCCTTTTTTATTGACGTCTTCCTTGTGCGTTTCCTGCAGGTGCAGCCGGAAACGGTCTTTGCGACTGAACCCTTCAGTGCGCCGGGGGCAGGCGGCATAGTCGCAGTGGAACATCTCCTTTTCTTTCGCATCCTTTCCATTGGTGCTGCCGTCCTGCGGCGGAGGGGAGCCGACAGCGCCGGCGGCTGCTGCTGGATTAGAGGCCAGCACTTGTGGCGGCACGGAGCCGGTGCCGGTCATAGGCACATCGTCGCCCGAGGGAGGAGGCCCGAGCGCAGCGACGGGTGTGGAGATGCCGTCTGCATGGGCTTGCTTGTAGTGGCGGTCGAGGTCGGTCTTGCGCTTGAACGGCTTGGAGGGGCATGCCGCGCTGAGACATGTCCACTCAATATCTTTCGGTTGCTGTACGGGCGATCGGTTGGTGACGGCGAGGGGTATCACGCTGGGAAGGGTGTCCGAGGGCGGGTACCCAGGCTGTAGCTGCCAGAAACCACCATCGTCGGCTGGATGGTAGTCGTATAGAGACCAGTCAAAATTGGCAAACGAGACCTTGTCCCTGCGAGTTTGCCACCCAGGTCAGTCTGCATGCTCGCAAATGGTCATGTGGTGGTTGGGGGAGGAATTCTGCGAACCATTGTTGAGCCGGATTCAGGCCTTGCGCCGTTGCTGGCAGCATGCCCTGTGGCATCATGCCTGGCATTGCGCCCGGCGCATTCGCTGTGCCTGGGGCGGATGCGTGGCTCTGGAGCTGTGCTTGAGCTTGGGCCTGTGCCTGGGCCTGGGCCTGGGCCTGTGCCTGGGCTTGAAGATGAGGAGGCAGTTGCTGCAGCTGGGAAGGTCCTCTATTGGGGTGCATCGGAGGAGGTGCCATGGCGAAGAGGGCGCCGTGATCTTGAGGCGGGGATGGATCGATCAGCGACATTTGGCTTACTCCTCGATGGATCGTTGGCGTCGGGGGATTGGATTTGGGGTTGGAAGAGGATGCAAGGCAGAGGTGAAAGGTCTAGAGATGATGACAGGTAACGAACCTTCGCCCTCAGTTCTGCCGGGTGCCATATGCGGGTTGGGAGAGAGAGAGAGAGAGTCTCGCCGCGTCGCGTAGAGCTGTAGTCGCTTGCTTGATGGAGGCTTGAAGCTTCAATTCTGGAGATCGCTCGTTGGAGTTGGAAGGGAAAGGCTAAGGGTCTTGGGAGCTCAAGAAATCGGGTTCGAGCTTGTGAATTCGAAACTTGGGCGAGGTAATCGTCGGGCTCAATCAATTAATCAATTCATCCAATTCGGGCGGGTGCACGCGCTCGGCTCACTTGATCGTCACGAGGGCGGGGAGCAGATGGGTCGAGGAAAGCTGGATGAGGTCAAGGTCCATGGCTCGGCGGGAGTGAGGACAGTGTGTAAAAAAAGAGACGGAAGGTGATTTCGGTTGAGGAGGAACAAACAGGTGAGGACATGTAGCAGGAGCAAGAGAGCAGGAGCAGGAGAGCAGGAGCAGGAGTAATGGGCAAAGAGCAGATGGGAGGCGAAGGGGGCGTTCGCTTGCTTCGCGCTGAGCTGGTTCGTCGAGGGCCGCAACAGAGGATGCTCCCCCGTTCGCCAGCTGTTGGTGCTCTGGCGTCTTTTTCCCTCTGGAGAGAATGACGAAGAGGAAAAGGACGACCTTTCCGTTCCCGTGGACACGGCGAAGAGAAGAACCTAGGAGCATCCAGATCGAGAAGCTCGAGCGGCGACTGAACAGAAGGAGCAGCACCAGCGATAGAAGCAACGACAGCAGCAGCCACAATGCGAGGCGGGGTGCATGTTTGTCCAATCCGATCCAATCCAATCCCGGGGGAGACCGTGACAGTTTGATGGATGGTCTCATTGCTTCGCGCTCGGCGGGCGGCCAGGTTGGCTGGCAGCGGGTTGGCGGACCACCCCTCCTCCTCTCGCCTCCTGGTACCTGGCCAGCCTAGCCAGCAGCACCTACGCACCCGCTTCAGAAAGCCAAGGGGAGCACCTGAACACACGAACGGACCACGGGGGCGGCGGCGGCGGCGCAGATGACAGATGAGATGAGATGAGCGTCCTGAAGGATGCCGCGTTAGCGGTTCGGAGACTCAAGAAGCCACTTGGCAGTTGGAGTAAGGTAGGCAGGCACGGCGCCCCAAATAGGCGGCAGGGATCCTGGATCCAGATGGTCCAGATGGGTAAGGATATGCGGCTTGCGAGGTGTCGAGCTGGTCACAATCCATGGGTCTTTTTGGTTTTCGTTTTCGTTTTCCCTGCCCTTCCGTGAAATATGATAATGTGGGTGGGCAGCTGTCGGGGGTCCTTGGGCTAGGAACATTGCGCGAGAACGCAAGGAGGGTATCATCTGGTCTGCAGTTTGGGGAGGGGGGCGGCAAGGCGGCGAGTGTGTGATAAGTGTTGGCGTTGGTGTTCGTTCTGGTTGGGTGTGGGTGGATGGACATCTCTGAAGGCAGGGTATCTACTAGGTACCTAAGACCTACTAAGGTACCATGAAGTCCCTTATTAGGTGGTTATTATTAGGGAACCATCTGAGGTGAGCTTGGTTGAGCTCTCGGTGGACAAGGTGACTGATGTGCTCGTTGTTCGGTAAGTCTCGGTAAGAGTCAGACCAGGAAACCTGCGGGGCACAAAAGTCCAACCCCACCTTGCACGCACGAGCAGGTGGGACTGGTGCCTCCACACCTCCTCGTCCCCTCAGACCTCAGCTTCGCGCGTTGTTACTTTTTGCGGAGGCAGGTTGAGTAGCATCGGGCAATGATAGCCGTTGCACCGTTCGGAGCCTGTGCTCGCGCTTTTTCGTGCTGTATTGATCAACCTTACAGACAGCACCGATGAGCATCTGGAAGACATAATTTCCATGGTTTGCGACAGCTTTTTTCGCCCCCTTGTTGCTTTGGGCATCGACGCCACCCCCAAGACAAGTGTGGCCCAGTAGTAGTGGCAGCAGCAGCAGCGGCGCCAGTGGTGGCAGCAGCAGAAAGAGTGGACAGGTGGAAGGACAGGTGGTCAAAGGAGGATTGCGTGCCACCTCCCATGGCGTCCAGCAGCCCTGAGCTCAGAGTAGGGCGGGCCTCGGGCCCATTTCCCAAAATCGAGGTTGGGATGCCTCAGATCCAGGACAGAACAGGTCGGGCTGCATCGTCATCATGGACACACAGGAGTTGGACAGCAACAAGTATTTACGTGGCATCATGAGCAGGTTAAGCAGCTTCGTTGCTAACAGAGCTCCTCTTCTCGTGTCACCAAGGCTCATCTACTGGCCTGCCCCATGTCTCCCCATGCTTCCCAGGGCTCCCCATTTCTGACTTGGCCAATTCCCATTTGGCCCATCCAAGTGTCTAGTCATCTGTGGATGCCAGTGCCGTGCATAAGTGTCTCTGCCAGACGACCGCCCTGCCAGGAATCAGCAGCCAAAGCGGACAAAGCAAGCACGCAGGTTGGTCGGGCCCATCCATCGGTGACCAGCAGAGAGACCAGCCAGCAAAGCTGCCCGCCCAGCTCGATCGAGGTGACCCCTTCATACAAAAATCTCTGCAACCCTGCGTCGGACGGAGGGGGTTTGAGTTCTGCAACCCTCGCCGGTCCTCCATTCCTGGGGACGAGGAGAGAGAGAGACAGAGAAAACGACAGTGTCATCATACCTTTGTTGGATTACATTCACACCCTACCGCTTCGGACTTGCTCCCACGGACAGGGAGAAGTGACGAAGCTTGAGGGTACGTACCTCGCGACGTATCGCTTCCTCATCGCATCGCACCTTCCGGCCGTCCAAGGAAGGAGTCAGCTCCCCCACCCTGGGTGCCATTGCCCACTGAACGGGATTCTGAGGGCGACACCTCGCAGCACCTGCGACTCCCAGAGTTGGGCACTCGGACACACTCGGACCAGGGGTGCTCCTACCACTTTGTGCCGGGTCTTGGCGCAAATCATCCATCTCCCTTTCCAACCCCTGAACACAAACCATATCCGAATCGGAATACAGCGTCAGAAAAAAGTTTCCCGACATTGTCACCATCGGCACAAGAAATTCATCCTCTGGCAACGCGTTGCTCTTGCACCTAGCATTCCTCGACCTACCTAGTCATCACGCTATCCTTCTGCCTACCAGGCCGTTACGCAATCCATCCATCCTTTGGGTTTCCCACAGGTACGTACGTTACGTGTCCTCGCTCTTGACGAGCCCACGACTACTTTCCAGGCGTCAGCGGCAGAGAAAGCTTTGCTCAAACGCCTCCGTTTTTACTATCGACAAACAAGATTGCCCCTCTCCTTGTCACCTCAGCATATAGGCATCAGCGAAAACAACATCTGACATGGTCTTATAAGCAGCCAAACGCGACTGAATTGTCCCTTGTCATCGCATTCTTCGGACACGTGAAACCCGCAACCACTTCCCACCGCCCGGACCACTGCCACAACGACAACAATAAACACCATCACCATCACCACCAACAACGTCTCGTCACCCAACTGCTACCATGGCCCGTATCCAGATTCCCCTTGACGCCCTGACGTCGCGCCTCAACTTCCAGGAACGCTTTGGCAGCCTGTCGACAGGCACCGTCGGCAGCCGCTTTTCGAACCTGCGTCCTATTTCCGACTTCTTGGACTTCAAGCGCCTCAGCAAGCCCGCCAACTTTGGCGAGGCGCAGTCGCGTGTCAACTACAACCTGAGCCACTACTCGAGCAACTATGCCGTCGTCTTTGCCATGCTGAGCTTGTACGCTCTGCTCACCAACTGGCTGCTCATGTTCGACATCATCTTTGTCGTCGCCGGTATGTTCATCATTGGCCGCCTCGACGGCCGCGACCTTGAGATCGGTACCTTCAAGGCCACCACGTCGCAGCTGTACACCGGTCTCCTCGTGATCGCCATTCCCCTGGGTCTTCTCGCGTCGCCCTTTGCGACGCTCCTGTGGCTCATTGGCGCATCTGGCGTGGTCATTCTCGGCCACGCTTCTTTCATGGACAAGCCCATTGATGAGGCTTTTTCCGGGGAGGCGGTCTAAATGGTCGGCCGCGAGCTCCCAAATTCGCGCCCCCATGGGGAAGACCATCGCGGCGCAGGCGGAGGACAAGGGGAGAACACGAGGATGCGCACAGCGGGTACTGGGAAAACGGAGAAAGGATTGTCGAAGAAGTAGACACAGGCGATGATACGGATACACAGGGCGTTGGATTGACTTCGAATGACAGGCGGCTCGTGAGCGATCCGTTGCATTTTACTGGGGTAGACCTTGGAGACCGAACCGGCGCAACGCGGAGGAGCTTTCCTTACCATGGCTCTGAAGATGAAGAGGACGATGACATTACTTCTTCCGGCGACGACGACGACTACGACGAGGGGGCACAGCTGGTCCTGCGAGAGAGGGAAGAGGAGGCATTGGTGCAATCAGCGCTGGCGCGCATTCAGCGTGCCCAAGACCGCGGTAAGAAAGAGGTCAAGCTCAACAAGGAGGAGCTCGCCGCCCTCGAACGAAGGCGGAAGCGCATTCAGGAGGAGGAGGCGGCCGCGGCAGCAGCAGCGGCAGCAGCGAGACGAGCGAATGCTTCAGCAAGCGGCAGCGAGCGCAAACGTCGCAAGGAGAAGGAGAAGCGATATGTAATTCCCCTCGCACAGCTCGAGGCGACGCCGCGCAAAAAGGGCAAAAAGTCACCCCCTGTGTCTGACGACAACTTACCACGGCACCCCTCTCCAGCCAATACGGCGGAGGCACCGACAAGGCGAGAAGTTCTGCCGCCCATGGGGTTCTTTCCGCCACCCACATCATCTCGGACCAGGCCCCGATCTTCGACCACGTCGTCCCACCGGTCCTTTCGGGCAATGGAAGACCATCGCGGATCGTCACCTTTCAACCCAGCGGCCTACAGCCAACCTCCATCGGCTCACCGGCACGTCTCGGATACGGTTAGCTCAAGGCCGCGTTCCTCTAGAGGTGCTCTGCCCTCGGAGGATGCCTGGACGCCCGGGCTCTCGCCGGCATCGTCCTCGTCGTCCATCTCGAGGAGCCGGCACTCACTGGACCCGCACATGTTTCAATCGGAGAGCTCGCGCGCGCCGTACCTGACTGGCGCTGGGGCTACCTCCCGGAGGCACCTCGCAGGTCCGGCCGAAGCTCGGCGGTCGTCGGGCCCCCCTGCTGCAGCTAGGGGCGGCAGAAGCTCGCGGCGGCCGAGCCCAGACGAGACGAGTGAGGCGGCGAGCGAGACGAGCGACCCAGACACGAGCGACGACCTCGGCAACGGGGTTCAGATTGTAGATCCGCCGCTACGAAGGGGCAGGCGAAGTGAAATTGTGGTTGAGGAAGAACCGGCGGATCCGCGCCGTGAAGTGTCGAGGGGTAAGAAGTCGTCCAACTCGTCTCCTGTCAAGAGAAAGCCAGTTGCCAGCGGAAGGAAGAAGAAGAAGTAGTATTCGTCATGGTCTTCGGGGTTTTCGGAATTATTGTGTTAGCTTTTGGTGCTGCATTTCGGTCATACGATATAGAGTTAATATTTTTCTTGGTTTCTGGTTCTGTGGCCATGCACCCAACGTCTTGATGCGACTCTCCGACCTGGCCAGACGTCTTGGTCCTGGGTCTGGCCGCGACCCCAGCGGCATGTGTGCCCATCGACTAAGGCACATCCAGTTGATAAGTGGCCCATCTACAGCACTACAGCAATCGAGCCATCTACAAGTTCCCGTAGTCTGATCTGGTGGATCGGTCCGTCGCCGTCTCGCCAGAAGACCCCTGACGTTCACCGCCCAGGATCGCCTCACGCCAGGCCCGTTCGGGAGCCCAGGCGGGGGGCCTGGCAAGCTGGGTCTACGCCCAACCTCACGCATTTCGCAGTCGACTTGTCCAGTGTTTGGGGGTCCCTCTAGGGAGCGCCCCAGCGGTGAGACCCGGACGCAGCTTGCCACACGCCCCGACCCAATCCCCTCGTGTTCTTCTCGCCCCCCCGTTCGCATTGCACCACGGGCAAGACAAGGACGAGACGCAGCATTTCTTGCATTGCATTTCCTACGCACATTGACAATACAAGGCCCCGCGATAGGTTCATTGGGAGAGCCTCATCAGAGAGGAGTCGATTGCGCGCCATCCGTACCTGCCGAGACGTGGGAATTCAAAAAAGGAATCTGAGCTTCCTTCCTCGATAAGGTAGCTCCCAAGAGCTCTGACCAGCCACCTCCCCAAAAGCCAAAGTGTGCTCGTCCCGAACAAAGCACCACTCTGTCGAACGCGCGCCTCGCAATCGCAACGCAACGAACATACACACACGCACACGCACATACAGACAACGGACAAACGGACGAGAAACTACACACAAGTCGATCGCCGCCATGGGCTTCTTTGACTTTGACAGCGGCAGCGTCATCTCCGGGCGCTCGTCGCACTCGCGCCGCCACTCGTCGCACCCCAAGTCCTCGAAGCGTCGCGACCGGTCGCGCAGCCGCTCCAGCTCGCGCAAGCACCAGGACAAGGGCTTCGCGGCCTCGCTGTTCGGCGGCGACAATTACCAGAAGCACAGCAGCTCGCGGTCGAGCTTCTTCGGGCAGCCAAACGCCAGCCGCTCCTCCTTTTTCGGATTCAGTACGTCTTCTCGAAGAACCCTTCTTCCCTCCTTTGGCTCCTCGTCCGTCGCAGTTATCGCCCGATTTGCTGCTGTTCGGATAATCAAAATGAAAAAAAAAGAGAGAGAAAAAAGAAAAAAAAAAGCTAACGAAACGCAGGCCGCCCCTCGTACTACAAACGATCGCCGCGCGGCGGCTTCCTCCACAAGGCCAAGAAGACGGTCAAGCGGCTCTGGCGCGACCTCATGCGCCTGCTCAAGGAGAATCCAGGCAAGGTCGTCATGCTGGTGCTGATGCCGCTCCTCACAGGCGGCTTCCTGACGGCGCTGCTGGCCAAGTTCGGCCTGCGGCTGCCGCCGAGCGTCGAGCGCATGATTGGCATGGGCGCGCGGGCCGCGGGCGGCGACAGCTTTGGCGCCGTCGGCGAGGCAGTGCGCATGGCGAGCGGGTCGTTTGGCGGCGCCGGCGGCGGTGGCCAGGGCGCCAAGGTCAACATTCAGCGCGGCATGGGCAATGGCATGGCGTGGGAGAAGAAGACGGTCGAGAAGGATTTTGGATGGGGGGATACCATTGGGGGCATGGCAAAGATGTTCATCTAGATGGGCATCTCGGCTAGAGTGCATCTCGGCTAGATGTGCATTTGACATGCACATCTGGCTGGCAGGGTCGAGGGGCAAGGGGCAAGAACTTTCATCTGTCTTTATCACGGGGCTGGCGTTGGTGGGCATTTTCAACCCTTTCATATGGGCATGCTCCGGCCGCGGCCGTTGAGGCTTGTCTGGCCGGGCAGCACAATAACGATTTTATGACAAAGCTGACGACGAGTCTAACAGAATCGACTGAGCGAGCAAAATGAGAGACTGGTATCTATCGCAAACATTACCATTCAAGTAGAGAGTTGCTGTGCAGCTCTTCGTTCCCTCTTTGCCAGCATCCTCCCCAGCCCCCTTTCACAGGCTTAATCTCGGGCTACTTATCCTGTTTAAGTTCCGACCTCGGCCAGCGTCCATCAGTTTCACGCCTCCAACTGCGGCGCCACCCCCTTGTGCTCTTCAATCTTCTCCACGACACAGGCCGTCCCGTACGCGCAGACCTGGGCGAAGCCGCCCAGCTCCCCAGCATCGAACCTCAGCGCAATGACGGCGTTGCCGCCCCTCGACTTGGTCTCGGTGACGACGCGCGAGATGGCGTCGTTGCGGCAGCTGTAGAGCATCGTGGTGAACCAGCGCAGCTCGCCGCCGGCGATGGACTTGAGGACCATGCCGAGGCCGGCGGCCCAGTTGCGGGAGCGGACGGTGAGGCCGTAGACGGCGCCGAGGGTGCGGACCACGCGGTACCCGGGTATGTCGAACATGGTGGTTGTGATGACACCCTCCGTCTCGGTGAAGCAGTGGAGGTCCGAGAGGGTGGGCGGCACATGGGCAACGTCCTCGGTCCTGCGAGAGGATGACATGATGTGCCGCTTTGGGTAGAGTGTAGTCGGGCGGTTTCTTCTGAATGCAGAGTAGTGATCACGTACAAGGTAAATCTCCAAAACAAAGAGGTGAGATGGTTCAGAACTCGAGATTAAGATATCGACAGAGAAACGGCTTCAACTCGACAACAACAACACAGAGCAACTGCCTTTTTATACTGCTCAGTCTCGGCCGAATTCTTCTCTCTCATGCCCACCTGCGGACTGAGGCCCTCATGCTGCGAGGCCAGATTGCCTCTGAATGTCAGATCGTCGGTGCTGGCGAGCGCCAGCCGAGACTACGGCGTCAGACATGCAGTACAATTGGCCCGTTGTTCACCGGCAAGGCTGCATATGACTATGGTGGTCGTATTTCGTATCGTCAAGATGGCGGGCACGAACAGGACATGCATCCCTTGATTCGGCGGCAGTAGGAAGTTCGGGCGGGGCCGCATCAACGTCTCGTTTACCTCTTTGGGCCAAGCGTGAGGAAGAACGTACTCACTCGCCTACTCACCGAGTTACACCGGTAAGCCAGTCAGGTGTAATGCCTACACCGAGATGGGGAGTGCCAATTACCTCAGCGGTCAAAGGCGATTGTGCTTCTTGGCAACATTATGACAAACACCTGACCTGCCCTTTACGTCGCTGGTGCAAATCAACCCGACGAAGCTATCACGGCGTGCCAAGGCGCCAGTGGCAGAGTGCTCATCAACCTCCATCGGCACTTGTCAAACGTCAAACGCCCAGGTCCAGCAAGCTAACCCCCTGTACTGACTCGTCCCACGCCGAAGCGCGTCAATCTCAAACGCTGCCCGCCCCCAAATCGTGCGAACCGCAATGTACCGAATAAGCTCAGCCCCTTCGTCTCATCTTACTCGGGATCGGTTTCCCATCTTGCAGTGCCGCTACCGCTACCACTTCCAGCGATGACGACTGAGTCGCCCGCCCCATCTGGACTTCGCACATGTCCCGAACGTCGTGCCGTCCGCCCACACGAGACGGACGCGAACCACCATGCGCCCACTGCCATCATGCAATCAAGACGTTACAGATGATGTGCACTAGAACCCTTTTTCACAATAAGGTTTACCCCTCGGCCGGGGATGCCGTGGGGCCTGCCTATTCACCCAGCCTACCGAACGCAAGCTTTGCCAATCAACCAGTTCGGTGCCTGAGTCGCCGTCTTTAATTAGGGGACCATTGAACCGGAACCTTCGGTGATCCCTGGACGTTGGATCAGCAACATCACGGGTGTGTCGCCCATGCCCCATGGACCATGGCTCGTGGGTTGCCAACTATCGGGTACAAAAGGATGGCCGGTGCCCGTCCTTGTGTCTCGGATACCTTGAAGGGATCGTCAGTCTAGTCATTCGCAGTCGTCTTCATTTCGTGTTCTCCATACTTCCTTCTTTTCAAATCTACAGTCTTTACACTCATCAACACTTATTTTTGGCTCTTAGAAATATCAGCATCATCATCATCATCATGCTTCCTTCTGTCCTCACCGTTCTCTCCGCCCTGGTGGCGTCCTCCCTCGCCAAGCCCGTGACCAAGTGCCGACAGGCCGCCGTTACCTGCCCCATTGTCTTTGACGGCCGGGTGCCCCAGACGGCCAAGGTCCAAGACTTTGACACGGCCGGCGGCGGAGGCTTCAACCCCTTCAACCCCAACTTTGTCAAGGGCAACAACCTGACGTGGTCCGAGATCCTCCTGCTGCCCACCATCACGCCGGCCTCGCGCTTCGACGCCGCCAAGAACACGCGGCCCGTCGAGGTGACCATCAGCGATGAGTCCATCTTCATGACGCAGCTGGGCTTCCGCCGCGCCGAGCTGCAGTTCGCCAACGACACGGGCAGCGGCAGCCCTGGCAGCGTCGGCGTCAAGACGCTGCACTTCAGCGTCCAGACCGACGCCCAGCGCCGCTTCAACGAGTCGCACGAGTACCTCAACGTCTGGCACGAGACGGCCGCCTTTGACGCCAACCAGTTTAACTTCCAGACCGGCACCATCATCGGCCAGCCCGAGCTGCCCGCCAACACCTGGAAGCTCCTCGACCGCAACAACGCCCTGCTCTGGTCGACGCCCGTCGTCGATGGCGTCTGGCAGAACTTTGCCCTGACCCTCGACTTCAACGCCAAGTATGTCGTGCCCCCCTCCCCCTTTTCCTCCCCCTCAGTCCTTTATGCTAAACTTTCTTCGCAGCACCATCAGTGTCCTCTACTCTGAGGGCGACAAGCCCCTGGCTCCCTCCGGCAAGGGTGCCTTCCCTGCGAACCTTGCCGGTGAGGGCCAGTACCACGTCGGTATCCTCAAGAAGCCCACTGGCACAGATGACGTTGTCAACTCAGGCTTCCAGGAGAGCCCCCTCAACGAGGGTCTCATCTACGCTGGTGTCTTCATC